TGTAGGGGTAATCTCTGGGTCTACTGAGCCGATTTAGATGAAATTTGGTAAGAAGATACATAGTATGAGACCCTGAAAAGGACATAGGATACTTTTTATCTCGGAAAGGAGTGAAAATGGGGATGAACGTTTGTATTGGGAAGCAAGCTACGGACTAGTAATAGTATAAAACAAAAAAAACTTATCTCAATAATAAAATCTAAAGGTATATAAAATATTAAAATACATTTTATGTACTTATAAAAATACTTATTAAATGCTCAAAGGAGAGCGTTTATAACGCAAGTATGTGACTGTGCTAACCCTAACCGCTAGATGTGGAAACAGCCTGTCTTTTGTACTTACGTGAAGATAGATCAGCCGACGGTCACGATTGATCGTGATTCTTTTTTCATTTTATCTTACTCCAATTTGTTTGGAATTGTGTAATATAATTGTATTGGATTCATAGCTGTTAAACGTCGATAATGTCAGTCCTAATAAGCAATTGTTGTTGAGTTGTACCCTATATTAGAAATAGCAGGTCCGGCGGCTTCGCTCGCGCTAAAACACAAAAAAAAACTTTTTGGCTTTATGCTATTAGTAATAAACAATTAGTAATAAATAATGTATGGAAGTCTGTCCGATATATATATATATATATATATATATATATATATATATATATATATATGATGATACGAGTACTTTAGCTAATGCTTTCTATAGGAATACACATTGACACAATACACACACCGATTCCCGCTGGCAAGTACAAGGTCTTGTGTTTATTACGGCCCGATCACGCTTAGGCGTGTAAGTATCACGTGACTTCTTCCGATTACATTTGAAGCCGTCTCCTTTAGGAGACGGTTTCAAATGAAATATTGGTTTAATATTGGTAAAATATTGATTATATTGCGATATATCGCAAGATCTGCCTCCGATATTTTCGTAAGTCCTGATCTGAACTGCGCAGAAGGTACTCTTACTTAGCTATTCTCTTGGAGCTACTACTTTCTTAGAGATAATACTTTCTTAGATTCACGCGAATATTTGACATTTTAAATAAAACTATCTTTTCGGATTATTTCGCGGATTTATTTTGATTTTTGGTTGCCGACGTTTCGAATGCTTTACAGCAATCATGGTCTGACTGAGGTTATAGCCTACCTACTATTTTATAAAAATGATAAAATCCAAAAAAGAGAATCCGCGAAATAATCCGAAAAGATAGTTTTATTTAAAAATTCTTAGAGATATGCTGATCTAATATCTCCCCGCTAAGCTGTAAAGATTAGTTGGACCAACACCACTACATCCTTCAAAATGATGTGCAGTAAACGTGGGTCGCTGCTACTGTAGTGATGACTTGAGTAATTAAAAATTATACCGCATTCTAGCATCTCTCTAGCCACTTATATAATACTATTGAATATTTCCAGTTTCACAACGTAATTGTATTTTCAGTTTGCGCAATATATTTTGGACAATTTGAATGTTTTAAACGTATATTTTTTATTTCACTAAGAACACAAACAAGTTTCTAATCTAAACTTTACATAAATTAAGCACTTTTATGACTTCATAAAAAGTAAAAAATAATGTTAAAGAAAATTATATTATACCTTAAGGTATATTCAATCTATTAATTAAAAAAAATGATTATAAAAATCGGCCCACAGTTCGTTAAGACATTGCGCAAAATACTCGCAAATAAAGAAAGCAGACGAATTGAGTACCTCTTTCCTATTATTAAAGTTAGCACAAAATAAATGTAAGAAGTTCTAATTTACCACTCAACATTCGGGCCCTCCAAAGCTATTTAACTTAGTTTTATTTCCGACTAGCGAATCACCCTCGCTTCGTTTGGGCTCGTACATTTTAATTTTTTTGAGCGAAACACTAATTCTTTTTCAAAAATAAAAGTAGCCCTATAATATCTGCTATCTTTCAGTGAAAGTCCCGTCGAAATCAATCCAGCCGTTTAAGAGGTTATCCGGAACAAACAGGCAGACAAACAAAATTTAAAAAAAATGTGTTTTTCTTATAAGTACCGTATATAATATCATATGCATTTAGAAAAACGTTGTTATTTTACATTACAAACAGACACTTCAATTTTATTTATCTGTGTAGATTCCCTTTGCTGTTTAAAGAAAATAATTCTGATCTTTCAAATGTGACCATTTCGATCCAGTTACGCTACATAAACATACAATTTCAAGCACTTATTATTACAAATAGTGGTCAATCGAGAGTCGAGACGGAAGAGTGCCTGCCGTGTGAAGCATTTTTCTACTATAACAAAACATTACCAAATCGCTTCTTTCTTTGTTCTAAGATTATAATTGGAGATACATAGTGAATTTGTGGCTATTTAAGTATTTTACATAATGGTTTGTACCTATTTGGATTAAGTTTAGTATTCTTACTATTTATTGGTCTTTATATAGATAATAAGTACTCTTGTATCAAACCAGAACTAGTTTTTGTTCTAAAATAAGAAATAGCTAATATCACTGTCCAGTTTATAACCTTTGTTGTCACATTGATCTCTAAGTATGCCTAATGGAATTAAAATCAACAAAATCTATACTAATATCATAAAGAGAAAAGATTTTTTTTTTAGTTTGTTTGTACCGAATAAGCTCCGAAACTTTTAAAAAGATTTAGATGAAATTTGGTAAGAAAATATTTTGAGACCATGGGAAGGACATAGTATAGTTTTTATTCCTGAAATCATCCCTTAAAGGGGTGAAAATCGGTATGAAAGTTCGTATGGGGAAACAACATTTATTTAAAAAATAAAATAGGTAAGATGTTGTTAGGACTATGCTTGTTAACATTTTTGTAGTGTGTTAGAGATCAAATTACATGCTTTTGCATATTCTAAAAATATAAATGATAATTCAACTTATATTTAAGTCGCACATAAAAAGTATTACTATTATACAAATATGTTATCTTTTTTATAGACGTGAGAATTTATATTTGTGTTTTCTAATCTAATGTGTTTGTTTGTTTGTTTGTCCTTCTTTCGCGTCGGAATAGAGTGAAGGATTGGCGTGATTTTTATGTGGAGACAGTTGAAGGGCTGGAGAGCTACACAGGCTTCTTTTTTATTCCCATAGGAAAACACGTTATAATACAATGCACAACAACTCATCATACCTATGTATAATGTATATATATATAATATCTATTCCATACTAACCGTTAAAACTGATCCAGAGACGAAACCGAACGAAGCGAGGGTAAATCGCTAGTAGGTACTAAATAAAAATTTCTTTATGCTATGTAATATTGCATATTTAGACACATTTCAACATTTTTAAAATATTTTTTAGTGCATACTTTCATTTTACACTTTTACGTTACATACAATCTAATCTCTATTAATAATGTACACCTTAGTAACTTTTAAATGCTTTTTATAAAACGCTGTTAGACATAGCATTTTGCGGTTTCACTTGATTATACCGCAAACATTGGTTTCAGACTCAGAAACCTTAATAGAGCTTCTATGACTCTATTGCGACTCTAAGAACAATAATATTATAAAATACTAGCATTACCCGCGTAAAAATATATACATATATTTATTTGGTATATGATAAACCTAATCCTTAAATCTATTTATATAAAAAAAATATAAAAAGATAGCGAATTCTTAAAGTGTTATGTATTTTCACATTAAATTACATACGAAATTAATTATTTATATAAGTACTTAACATTGCCCGCGGCCAGATAACCAAAAGCCAAATTCTTAGGTTTTACATATTAAAATACTCTTACATTTCAGTTTTTGTATTTTTTCTCAGAAATGAGATATTTTCCCGCGGTAAAAAGTATCTTATATGTTGACCCGGATAACCAGCTATTATCATACCAAATTTCATCAAAATTTCTCTGGTGGTTTTTCTGTGATGCGGTAACTAACAGACAGAAAGACAGACAGACAAAAATTCTAAAAACTATAGATTCGGCCTATGTATCGATAATAATGTTTATTTCAATAAGATTTTCCAAAAAATATATATTGTACAGATTCGGCTTAGTTAAAATTATATTATATGTATAGATAATATAATTTTTGAATCTTAAAAAGGAAATATCAATTTTCAAACGTTTTTTTTAGTTTCAATTATAACTAAGTAATTAATAAGTTCGAGCATTCAATTTTAATTTAATTTAACATTAATTTCTTTATTTAACTCCCATACATACGTTGGAGGTTTACAAATGTTAATACAAAAACTTGACATCGAGCTAATATGATGATGTGCCAAGTCATTGAGGTATTGTTCAATAGCAGTAAAACGTTTAATTTTTGACATATTTGATACGTTATGTCAAATTCCACATTACATATCGTTTAAAAGAGTATTATCTCTAAGCTGTTAGAGAATTTTTTTTACACTACCGCTATAAGTCTCGTTAATTCTATAACAAGTGGCAAGGATAGATTAATTCCTTTTTTTTGTTGTCGCTGGGGAAACTCATCATGGGGACCCTGCCCGCCGTCATAACGGACAAAGTACTGTGAGACTCCTACTCACTATAACCCACAGCGGAACCCTTCGCCGCAGTGCAATATATGTTGGAATGGGTGTTGCAGGATCGCTTGCGCAGACACTACAACACCCCTGCGGACGGCCCGAACCACGCGGGCCAATCTCGCTTAAATCGGGCTGCCCTCGATAAGGATAGATTAATTCCTAGATCAACACATAGGATACTTTTTGTCAAGCACCAACAAGTGCAGGATAGAAGTTTATTTTATAACATGTGACATAGAGACAGACATGTCTTTTGTAATAGAACTGAAAGCCCATTCCCCTCTCCCCCCCTATCCCTTCATCTCGTGACTGCTAAGTATTTTTCCTATCATAATTAATCACAAAAGTCTAGATAAAATTATCTTATCTCTGAACGCAGTGATGGAGGTTTGTTAATTTAAATATTCTTTGTGTGTTGCTTGTTCTAGACGTGAGAGAGCGCAGTGACGTCACGGGATGGCTGCGTGGGGTTGGCTGTTTGTTTGCACCCTTTTGGGCTTAGCAGTTGCTCAAGGACCGGAGAAACGTAAGTTAAATTGATTTTTTTAAATTTTTTTACAGATTTTTGGATTGTCTGTAGAAAAATTCCCATAACTTTAAGTATTTGAAAAATGACAAATTAATATAAAAAAATATTTCATTCAAAAAGCAGTTGCTTATTTAATAAGTCTGTCTATACTTTCAATGCCGTAAAGAGATTTTGTTAAATTAAAAGAAAATCCATATAATTTGACTTATTATTTTAATTTAACCATAAATTCCATTCATATTTTACTTTAAAGATCACATACGTTAGCTTTGAAAGACATATTTATATTTTTCAAGTCCGTTAAGACATAACAGCTTGAGTTTAATGCAAACATAATAATTAAATAATTTTTTTTTAAGTATATAGTAACATTACAGAGTAACATTACGTTGTCGATATTTTTATATTATCCTTATTCGTTCGTCCCTTCTTACGTTTTAACGTTTATTTTATTAACCCGGATAACCAGTTATCATCATACCAAATTTCATCAAAATCCCTCCAGGGATTTTTCTGTAATGCGGTAACAGACGACAGACAATTTAAAAAAAACTATAGATTCGGCCTCTTTATCGATAATAATGTCTATTTCAATAAGATTTTCCAAAAAAATATTTAATGTACAGATTCGGCTTAGTTACAATTTTATTATATGTAGTTATAGATATATTTCACCATTCAGTTGTACGCCGTTAATATATAGGTACCTAAGAGCGCATGTTTTAATCCTCAACTTAAGCTAAACTTTCTAAGGATATTTATTAATACTTTCTTAAATTTACTCGAACATTTGACACTTTAAATAAAACTATCTTTTTGGATTTTTTCGCGGATTTATTTAGATTTTTAGTTCCCGTCGTTTTGAATGCTTTACAGCAATCATGATCACAAGAGAGACAAAAATCTAAATAAATCCGCCACAAAACCGAAAAGATAGTTTTGTTTAAAATGTTGTAAACCTTACTGAATAAAGGGATTTTTTTAATATATACATATATATATATAGTTAGTTCTGAAAATAACTCGACTCCAAATTCTTAAAGAGAGATTCAAAGAAATATTTAGAAATTGACTATTGAACAGCTTTTAGCTACTTACTGACAAAAACAAAGAATGTTGACATAATCCAAATTACGCGGTAGTAGAAACAGATAAAACAAAGCTAGCGAGAGCAAATAAAAAGTTATAATTGCGTAAACGTTTCACTCTAAAAATAACTTGCTTCATTACATACCTCTCTCCATCCATTGATGCACTTCCTACTTAGTAGTTGTTTTTTATAGAAACACGCAACTGACGGTTATGTGATACCTCGTATATCCTCGGCTTACTCTATATGTTATCGTTAAATACGGAAAACTTACAAAATTTACAATAAACTAGCGATTTATCATCGCTCAACTCGCCTTCCTAGGTGTTCAATAGGTCATAGTATATATAATAAACTTAATCCAAATCTGTTTAGCCGTTTTAGCTATGTATGTTTATTGCTCCTTCAGTAACAAACATACACACATACAAACTTTCGAATTTATAATAGTTGTCTAGTTAAAATAAACTTTTTATTATATTTTTATACCTCTGAATCTTTAATATTGATGTATAATAAGGAGTTATTCATGAGGTAGCTCGGCTTGTTGGCTCATAGCGTATGAAACGTTCAAATATGCAGTAGCTACCCTGCATAAAATCATAATATATTTTTATCATATAGGTATATTAGGTATGATGTTCTTGAATAAATAGAAAGAAAATGTTGACTTTAAAATGAAGTTGTATCAAAACGGTTTGTGGAATTTTAAAATTTACATATTTAATTGTTTTTTCTTAGGAGATCAAAAGGAAGAGAGCAGTAGAAGATCCTATATTTTGTTTCTATTTTACCAAAACAAATTGGCAATCAGACTTCTGATATCGTCATAGTTTAGTTTTATTCATTTGTCATTTTAGCAAATCATAGTTTTAGAAACCTCTCGCAATTATACGGAAAAAAAATCTTCTGTAACATATAAAAAGAACAAACTGGCTTAGCTTGAGAATTAAACATACATATAAAAAATCAGACAAGTGCGAGTTTGTCTCGCACACCGAGGATTCCGTACCATGAACCATTAAAAAAAATATAATCGCTATAAACAAAAAAAAAAATTTGCCATGAAACTACAAATTTACGGATTATGGATTTTTTGCCTTTACTTTATAAGACACTGTTTTTTGTCAAATTTCATGCTTCTAAGTCAACGGGAAGTACCCTATAGGTTTTGTTTCCCTTGCGAGTCAATAGCAAAATATGCGGCATAAACTGCCATATCTTTTTACTATTTTGAATGACTGAGATGTTGATTTTTTTACAGCTTCAAGGCATTACAGACTGAGTATTTTGTATTAATTACAACTTGATACCCCCATTCGTACCTGATAAAAAGAGTCTTGACAGACAGACAGATAAACAGACAGACAGAAAGACAACGACGACGATCCTATAAGCATTCCTTTTTTGCTTTTGAGGTACGGAACCCTAAAAAGATGTAAAATTATTTCTATGTATTTTAAAAAGTCATATAAGTACAAGTTTGTTGTAATAACACTCGTATTATTATTACACTAAACAACGCAGCGTTCCTGTGCTTGCACCGCTAAGCTATTAACCTGGATTTGATCCCGCAATCGCTGGCTTTAAATCAAGGAATAATTGCTGGCATTGACATATAATTTTACGTAATAATATTTTTGTTTATTGCTATGCTTGTGTTGTGTTGCTAGTTATAATATAGTAGAAAGATTAATGAACCTATAATAACTTTATTTCTTTGGGGACTTCCTATAATTAGAACAGATGGACGGACAGACAGATATTAAAATTGACCGTCAGGATTTGATTTCATACATAGTTTACAGGTTTTGTAGGTAAAAAACTTAATTATAAATTTATAGATCTTTTTTTTTAATTATAAATTGATTCACTACTGTCTTATATTCGCGAATATTTGACATCTATACTAATATTATAAATGCGAAAGTAACTTTTTCTGTCTGCCTATCTGTTACCATTTGGAAATTTGGTCTGGAGATAGTTTGAGTGTTCCTTCCCAGGGAAACACAAACGCTAGTTTTTGTCCAGGAAATCATCCCTTAGGAGAGTGAAAAGGAAGTCGAAGTTTGTATGGGGAACCAATCATTTCTCAAGTAAGGTATATATAATTCATCATAACTATGTATATATTTAATCTATTTAATACTAACAGTTATAACTAGGCACTTTGTCGCTAGTTTTAAATAAAACTACCACTTTCGATTTTTCAAATTATTAAAAATAAAAATAAATTCGGGATAAAATCAAAAATAGATAGTTTTATTTATGTATGTATTCATTCATCCATACCGTATTATGGCAACAATGTATCAATTACCGTGACTATTGCGTTCAATTATGCACATACATTGCGTTGAATAAAAGTGAAAGCATATCGCTTTGTTCCTTGCGTAATGCGAGATCGTAGGAATACGTTGTTTTTACATAATAATACTTTTGTACCTACAATTACTTACGTTTATGTATAATACGGAATATATATTATATATACACACATACATAAAGGCAGTGATAGCCCAGTGGAAAAGCGCTTGCTTGGGAAACCAAGTTTAGCGGGTTCTCATTTATGAATTATTTTCAACATTGTTATTACTTGTCTTACGATGAAGGAAATGATCGTGAGGACACCTGCATGTCTAAGTGAACCTAGCTTTTTTTTTTAATTTTCGTAAGACATGTGAAGTCCGCCAAACCGCACTTTTCCAGCGTGGTGGACTATGGTCGTATCCCCGTCGCACTGACTCGGACCCAGCCGTGGGACGTTAATTAATAATAATTTACCTATATAAAAAGTTTTACTAGTTATATAATCGCATTGAGAATTTTTAAATGATCATGAGCCTAACCTCATTTAAAAAAAATACAGATATATTTACCTAAAGTATACTCATGAATTATTTGCCATTATTTATAAATATTATGTCAATAAAAAGTGCTAGGTAACTAAATCATAAATTTTTAACTGTGTTAATTCTATACATACTCGTAGGGATTCACACTAACTGAAGCCACATACATTATACGTGTTGTAATCACGATTGTTGACATCTAGTTTATATTAATCGTTGTTATAGAAATTACTAGCATTGCCCGCGGCTCCACCCGCGTTCAGATGACCAAAAACCAAATTCTTAGGTTTTACATATTAGCATACTCTTACGTTGCAGTTTTTGTATTTTTTCTCAGAAAGGAGACAATTTCCCGCGGTAAAAATTATCCTATATGTTGACCCGGATAACCAGCTATCACCATACTGAATTTCATCAAAATCCCTCCAGTGGTTTTTCCGTGAAGCGGTAACAGACAGACAAAAATTCTAAAAACTATACATTAGACCTCTGTATCGTTAATAATACCTATTTCAATAAGATTTTCCAAAAAATATTTAATGTACAGATTCGGCTCAGACACAATTTTATTATAGGTATGTATAGATTATAAAAATGATTGACAGAAAGCCGAAAGGCAGAGTTTTTGTATAATAAAATATTAAACTAAAATATTTGCTTAGTGTTTTCTTAATTTTAAATGAATCTATCTTTTCGGATTTTGTTACGATTTGTGATTTTATATTTTTGTTCTTATTGCTTATAAAATTTGTTCATTTTAATAAGTTATATAATTGAATATTAAGTGTTATTCAAGTTTGGTTGCTATTAATGTTACATTTTTTTTAAACTTTAATTAATGTTCTAAAATTATTGTACTTCGGTGCTATTTCTCTATTTCTTTATATTATTGTATAGTTTTATGGGTAATAACACAGTCACTAATACCAACTCAACAATCTTGGTCTCTCCCGTGACCATGTTTGTAGTAAAGCATTCGAAACATCGGGAACCAAAAAATAACCAAAAAATCGACAAAATCCGAAAAGATAGAAGATATTAAAATATCAAATATT